CATTTGCAAATGACATTTTTATTCATATTGAACATAGTACTTACTTAACATCCTGAGCAGATTTTTAAAAATCTCGTTAGAACTTTTGTTTGTCTTTTTTTGGGGGGCAGGTCTAAGTTTGAACTCAGGGCCTCGAGCTTGTACTTTATGTACATTTCCCAGCTTTTTTGCTTTAGCTATTTTTCAGTTAGGGTCTCTAGTTTTTGCCCTGGGCTGGCCTCATACTGTGATCCTTCTACCATAGCCTCCCATGTAGCTGGGATGACAGGCATGCCACCATATTCAGCTTTTTTTCTTTTTTGTTTTTTGCGGCGCTGGGGTTTGAACTCAGGGCCACATGCTTCCTAGGTAGTCGCTCTACCACTTGAGCCTCTCCACCAGCCCATATTCAGCTTATTTTTAAAAATCTATTTCACATATCTTTATTTACTTCAGCTTTAAAAATTCTCAAAGCAACATTTTAAACTCAGTTGTTATTTGAAGGGAGAAAATATTCATACCATTTAAGAAATATTTTCTTTTCCATAGAACTCCATGACATCACGAAAACGAGTTTTCTTTCCCATGTAAACCTTCCATATTATTTATAGAAGTCTTAGGATGGCATAAATTATACCCAGCATATTGATTGTGATGGGGTCTTACTAACTTTTTGCCCAGCTGGCCTCAAACCTTGATTCTCCAGATCGCTGCCTCCCAAGTAGCTAGGATTGCAGGCATGAGCCAGTGTACACAGCTTCTTGTTTGCCATTTTTAATCTACCAAATGTAACAAAATCAGTTTGAATGCATTATGAACTTCAGGAATTTTAAATCTGACTTACATTTGTGTTGGTCAACCAGATAGGCTAATGAAAATTTAACAGTGATGTTTATTTAATTCTTGAGTTCTCTTTTCACACGAATATGAGAGCTCTTATGCTAAAAGATCAGAGACTGGGCAAACAAATGTGGAGACTTGGAACCGTGATCAACGTTGTTAGTGTTGCCCAAGTTATTGTAGTTCTTAATAGTCGGGTAACAGGGGAGCTGCTTTAACACTTTCAAACTGTTGTAGTTACAGTGGTTTTTCATGGAATTTTCTTACTAGACAATCCCCTCACCTTGTATTGTGATCAATGACTGACCCATCAGAGAATGGCCTGCAGTATTATGCTCCTTTGCCATTTATTTGAATGATAATTTGGGTCTAATTGGATACTTAATTTTGAATGGCAGTGGGACTATTTCCAAAAATCTTCATGTTGTCCACTTCTCAGCCTTAGAAAATAAGACACTAGGAACATAATTTATTTACCGCTTCTTCAGTGAACTGAGTCCCTCATCATAAACAGCTGTGCTGGCTCTGTTCCTCAGTGCTTGTGCCACAGAGGCAGGGCTCTGCACTTACCTGCTCTTAAGTCCTGCTGGCCGCCTGGGCCTGAGCTCTCTTCCTGTGTTGTAGTGGTGCTTCCAGCTGGTAGGTCTACATCTTTCTCACTCTCTCCTGCCAAACTAAAGTTCACAGCCATTGACACTCACCTTTACCCAGGGTGGATTTAAATTACCTCCAAGGTAACTCAGGAGTATCACAAATGATGTTACCTATATCAGAACCTTAGAAGTGCAAATGATGACCCTCTTCTGTAAGAAGTAAGGACTGTAACTTGATACTCTTTACCTTTCTTGGGTTCAGTCTTCTTTTAGTGGTTTTTAGTGCATTCACAGAGTTGGACAGCCATTCCTACTATTTAATTTTAGAACATTTTTATCACCCCAAGAAGACAGCTCATACCCATAAGCAATCACTTTCCCTTTTCTCCTCCCTTTAGCCCCTGGCAACTACTAATCTACTTTTTGGCTTTATGGATTTGCCGTTTCTGAATATATTTCAAGTAGATGGAATCATAAATGTGTGGCATTTTTGTCTGCCTTCTTTCACTTAGAAGTCATCCATGTTAGCTTGCAGCATACGTCAAAACTTCATTCTATGACCAAATAATATTCCATTGTATGGATGTATCACATATTCATTCCTCAACTGATAATTGATTTGTTTCCATTTGGGCTATTATAATAATATCAATACTACTATGAGCATTTGTGTACAAGATTTTGTATGAACATGTTTTTACTTCTATTTCATATATTCCTGGGAGTAGAATTGCTAGATATTATGGCAACTCTGCATTTAACTTTTTGAAGAACTGCCAGAGTTTTTCCAAAGCAGCTATACCATTTTATATTTCTTCCCACAGTGTGCAGGTTCGAGTTTGTCCATGTCCTCCTCTGTACTTGTTACTATCCGTCATATGACTGTAGCCATCCTGGTGCAGTGAAAAAGTATCTGCTTGTGCTTTTGATTTACATTCCCTAACTGCTAATGATGTTGAGCACTTTTTAATGTACTTATCAACTTTTTGTATATCTTCTTTAGAGAAACACCTGTTCGAATCCTTTATTTTAAATTGGGTTGTCTCTTGATTGTTGAGTTGTAGGAAGTCTTCATATAGTCTAGATTTACCTCATCAAATAATTTTCACTTTTTTGTTTGTTGTTTGGTGCTGCTGATAGAGCCCAGGGCCTCATGCATGCTAGGCAAACCCTCTGTCATTCAGATATACTCCAGACCCATCTTTCACTTTCTTGTGGTGGTCTTTGAAGCACAAAAGCTTTTAGTTTTCATGAAGTTCCATTGGTTTGTTTTTCTTTTGTCCCTTGTGCTTTCAGATAATCTATCTGATGTCTTCTATGACTTATCTAAAAATCTGATCTACTCATTAGGCACCTAACTGTATTATTCTTAGGTTTATTGATTTGGAATTATAAAGCATGTAATTAAAAATATTTTCCAAGTATATATAAAAGAGCTTAGAAGTTATGTACTTTGAGGCAGGGCACAGTGGCTCATACTTATAATCCCAGCTCCTCTAGAGATTAAATAAGAGGACTGCAGTTCAGGCCAGCCTCGGGCAAAAGCATAATACCCTATTTGAAAAATTACCAAAGCAAAAAGATCTGGAGGCATGGCTAAAGTGGTAGAGTGCTTGCCTAGTAAGCACAGGTCCTAAAATCTAATCTTAGTACCACCACCACTGCCAAAAAAAGAAAGAAAGAAATTACATACTTTGAACTGATGAACCCATTTCTGTGCAATTAACCTCAGGAAATAATTTAATAGGAAAAAAAAATCCTGTATGTTCAAAGTTGTCCATTTCACTGTGACCCATGAGATTGTGGGTAGTGGGAACCTGTGCAACACTGAACAAGATTTCACAGAGTAAGTCCATTGTGATACATTATTAGGCATTTATCTAGACATTTTAATCATGAAGCTTCTATAATGAAAATGTTTAGGTACTATGTCATGTTCAGCAAGAAAAAGAAAACGAAGTGCATGCTCATATAATTGAAAATATGTATAAACTATTTTGACAAGATGAAGGATATATAATTACAGGTAGTTTTATTTTCTTAAGGTTCACTTAATATTGATATGTTATTTTTAAAGTTAAAATTTGATATTTTGGGGGGCAGAGCTGGTGTTTGAACTCATGGCCACATACTTGCTAGGCAGGAGCTCCTTATCACTTGAGCCACTCTGCCAGCCCAAAATTTAATTTTTAATTTTTTGTTTGTTTTTGAGATAGAGTCCCACTATGTATCCCAGGTTGCCCTCGAATTCAAAATCTTCCTGCCTCAGCCTCTCAAGTGCTGGGATTACAGACATGCACCACCACACACCTAGTTATAGTTAAAAATGAAGATAAAAAATATGTGCATGACTGGTGGCTCATGCCTGTAATCCTAACTACTTGGGAGGCTGAGATCAGGAGAATCGGCCATTCCAGGCCAGCCTGGGCAAATAGTTTGAGAGACCCCATCTCCAAAATAACCAGAGCAAAAAGGATGGGAGTTGTGGCTCAAACAGTAGAGTGCCTCCTTTGCAAGCATGAAGCCCTGAGTTCAAACTCCAATCCCACCAAAAAAAATATGTGTATGACATTTCCAGTTGTTGGTGGCATTGGTGACAAGTGGTTAGATCTGTGTATATGTTTATGTCTATCTGACCACAACTTTTTTTTGTACCAGTTATTTTTATCATCATCCTCATCATCAGGATTAGGTTTTGAGACAACAACAACAAAAATAATTTGCTTGCTAGTTTACTAACAATTTGAATGGAGATATTTTAATTCTCTGTACATTTTTATATCAAATCCAAACACTGATAATTTGATTTTAATATTAGAACTATTATCTTAGTCATTACAGCATTACAATTTGCTAACAAGAAAGTTAATGATGATTAAATATTATGTTAATAGGGAGCCTAGAAGCACTTTTCTCATGGCATCTCATGAAGTAATTATTATTACAATTACTTTACATATAAGTAAATAAGTCTCTCAGCTTTTTAAACAAATTTCAAACAGATCAAAGACTTAATAGTTTTTTTCATGGAACAGTAAAAATTAAAAAGCAGTAAGCATAATACAAGGTCATGTGTAGTGTGTGAACCTGGGTGAGGACCTATTTTGAGCTTCTATGTGTGTGGATACCCTGACCCTCTGACCTTTGGCTTCATGTGGATGACAATCATTTTGGGTAGTACATAACTATGAGGTGATCTCTGCCACAGCCTAGAATGGGAGCAGTAGGGCAGCAGGCAGGGAAGGGCCAAGGATGCCCAGCTCAAATGCCTGGCTCTTAACAGTGGCCCATCTTTTCACTCAGCCCTCCCCTGCATTCACACACTACAGCTAACTTGATTTTGGGGACTGGCTTGGAGGAGACAGAGGAACCATAATGTTTTTATATGTAGGAAGGCTATGAAAAAGAAAATCCCTTATTGGCCCAAACATTTAAAGAATTATTACACTAGATCTTTTGTTCTTACTCTGACATGGACAGAATTAATTTGGAGGTCCAAAAGAGAATGATTTTGGTTTTTGTTTTGTTTTGTTTTGAGGCTGAATTACTTAATGCTTGGATATGGTGGAGTAGAGAAAAATAAAACATTGCTTAATTCTATCAAGTGGTATTGAAACATCTCCAGGTCATTCTTCAGGGTCATGACTGAGGGGCTCCTGCTTCAGACTTCACATCCCAGCTTCTGGTAAAAAGACCCATGTGATAAAGGACAAACAGGGGAGTATATCTAGGGAATCTGAGAAAGAGACAGAGCTTAAGAGATCTTAATTATGTTTTTTTCTTTTCCTCCACAGGTTTAATAACCTGCTTTCTACAGATAACTGAAGAAAGGTGCCCTTAGAAGCTGTCCTTGGACCCTCATGGAGTAGCTAGGACTTGTACTGTAAAGCCTTTGATGAGGCAAGCTCTTGCCTGCTGATCACCACATCACCTGTCACCATGGCCAGCAAGAGGAAGTCCACCACCCCATGCATGATCCCAGTGAAGACTGTGGCACTGCAGGGTGCCAGTGTGGAGACCCAGCCTGTAGAAGTTTTGCCTGAAGGCCCCCAGCAGGATCTACCCCCAGAAGCACCTGCTGCCAGTAATGAGGCAGCCCAAAACCCCAGCAGTACTGTTGGCTCGGCCTTGGCCAACGGACACCGAAGCACTTTGGATGGTTATTTATATTCCTGTAAAGACTGTGACTTCAGATCCCAGGACATGACCCAATTTGTGGGGCACATGAACTCAGAGCACACAGACTTTAATAAAGACCCAAATTTTGTATGCTCTGGGTGCAGTTTCCTGGCAAAAACTCCTGAAGGGCTTTCCTTGCATAATGCCAAGTGTCACTCAGGAGAAGCCAGTTTTGTGTGGAATGTGGCCAAGTCAGACAATCATGTAGTCGTGGAGCAGAGCATCCCTGAGAGCACCAACACTCCTGATCTAGCAGGTGAGCCCAGTGCTGAAGGGACTGATGGACAGGCTGAAATCATCATTACCAAGACTCCAATCATGAAGATAATGAAAGGCAAAGCCGAAGCCAAAAAAATCCATATGCTCAAGGATGTTCCCAGCCAGCCTGTGAGTGAGGCCCTGCCAAAGCCTTCAGCCGGAGAGACAGAGGTGAAAGAGGGGGACCACTCATTTGTCAATGGGGCAACTCCAGTCAGCCAGGTATCTACCAACTCCTCAAAGCCCCCCCATGCCGCCAATGGGCCCCTGATAGGAGCAGTGCCGGTTCTGCCAGCTGGAATAGCACAGTTCCTCTCCCTCCAGCAGCAGCCCCCTGTGCATGCCCAGCACCATGCCCACCATCCCCTGCCAACATCCAAGGCCCTTCCCAAAGTCATGATCCCCCTGAGCAGTATCCCAACATACAATGCAGCCATGGACTCCAACAGCTTCCTGAAGAACTCCTTCCACAAGTTCCCCTACCCAACCAAAGCTGAACTCTGCTACTTGACTGTGGTGACCAAGTATCCAGAAGAACAGCTCAAGATCTGGTTCACAGCCCAGAGACTGAAGCAAGGTATCAGTTGGTCCCCTGAGGAGATTGAAGATGCCCGGAAGAAGATGTTCAATACAGTCATCCAGTCTGTGCCTCAGCCCACAATCACAGTTCTAAACACACCCCTGGTTGCCAGTGCTGGCAACGTCCAGCACCTCATCCAGGCCACTCTCCCAGGCCACGCTGTGGGACAGCCAGAGGGCACAGCAGGGGGACTCCTGGTCACCCAGCCACTGATGGCCAATGGGTTGCAAGCACCTAGCTGCTCTCTCCCCCTGACAGGTACGTCTGTCCCCAAGCCAACCACGGCACCCATTAACACTGTGTGTTCAAACACAACATCAGCTGTGAAGGTGGTCAATGCAGCCCAGTCACTCCTCACAGCATGCCCCAGCATAACATCCCAAGCCTTCCTTGATGCTAGCATCTACAAAAATAAGAAGTCTCATGAACAGCTGTCAGCTCTGAAAGGGAGCTTCTGTAGGAACCAGTTCCCAGGGCAGAGTGAAGTAGAACATCTGACCAAAGTGACAGGCCTCAGTACCAGAGAGGTACGGAAATGGTTCAGTGATCGGAGATATCATTGCCGGAACCTGAAGGGCTCCAAAGCCATGATGCCCGGAGATCATAATTCAATCCTCATTGACTCTGTGCCAGAGGTACCCTTCTCCCTGTCATCCAAGGCCCCAGAGATAACCTGCATCCCAACAGCAGCCTCGCTAGCAAGCCACCCTGCTGCCAAACGACAATCCTGGCACCAGACTCCAGATTTCACACCAACCAAATACAAAGAGAGAGCCCCTGAGCAGCTCCAAGCCCTGGAGAGTAGCTTTGCACAAAACCCACTCCCCCTTGATGAGGAGCTGGACCGTCTGAGAAGTGAAACCAAGATGACTCGTAGAGAAATTGATAGCTGGTTTTCAGAGAAACGGAAGAAAGTGAATGCTGAGGAGACCAAGAAGTCTGATGAGCATGCCCCTCAGGAGGAGGAGGAGGCTGCTGAAGATGAGGATGGAGAAGGGGAGTTAGCCAGTGACCTGAGGGTCCCTGGTGAAAATGGCTCCCCAGAAATGCTTCTTAGCCAGATATCAGCAGAGCGCAAAGTCAGCCCCATCAAAATCAACCTCAAGAACCTGCGGGTTACTGAAGCCAGTGGCAAGAGTGAGTTTCTAGGGCTGGGTACTTGTGAGTCTGAGGATGACATATTAAACAAGCTGGCAGAACAGCCCCCAGGCAAAGTGAGCTACAAAAAGACCGCCCAGCAGCGACACTTGCTGCGGCAGCTCTTTGTCCAGACACAGTGGCCAAGCAACCAGGACTATGACTCCATCATGGCACAGACGGGGCTGCCACGGCCAGAGGTGGTGCGCTGGTTTGGGGACAGCAGGTATGCTCTGAAAAACGGCCAGCTCAAATGGTATGAAGACTACAAGCGGGGCAACTTCCCACCAGGGCTGCTGGTCATTGCTCCTGGCAACCGGGAGCTGCTGCAAGATTATTACATGACACACAAGATGCTGTACGAGGAGGACCTGCAGAGCCTCTGTGACAAGACCCAGATGAGCTCCCAGCAGGTCAAGCAGTGGTTTGCTGAGAAAATGGGTGAGGAGACCCGGGCCGTGGCAGACACAGGTAGTGAGGACCAGGGCCCTGGCACTGGTGAGCCTGTGGCCATTCACAAAGAGCTGGGTGACACCTATTCCGAGGTGTCTGAGAACAGTGAGTCATGGGAGCCCAGTGCCCCTGAGGCCAGCTCAGAGCCCTTTAACACATCGAGTCCCCAGTCTGGACTTCCACTAGGTAAGGAGTCCACAGGGGGCCAGGGGCTTCCTCTGTGGGTGAGGGGAGGATGCACTCATTGATGGACACTGAATTTATTGCATAGGGGTCATCTGCTGTCTCTAAGGCTGCTGGGTTGCTTCTGGGGACAAATGGCGGCAGAAGCCATGGGAGCTAAATATGAGGAAGGGCTCACAGTTGGGCTGTTGTTTGGGTTCTTGCTTTTTTTTTAAGCTGTGCAGGGGAAATGATATGATGAGCCTCAAGGAATCCAAGCATTTGTGGTCATTACTTAGCAGTAGGAGAATAGATCAAAACATCACCAAAGTCAGCAGATGCCCAATCACTAGGTGGGAGAGAGCAACAGGACACCAGAGGAAATTCAGCTCACATTGGTGAACAAGAGGAAATAGAGCCTTTCATTGTCTTCATACACATGAAGTACTTTTTCTAATGATGAAAATCCTATCTTATGTTTCTATTGTTATTCCTGACAATGGGAGAAATGTTTATTGTAACGGAAAGTCATGTTCCCTCTTGGACATATATCTAATCTAAAGTTTGAATTTTGTTCCTTAGTTTCTTTGGATCATGGAATTTTAGTACTCAAAAGTAAAATTTAGAAGATTATTTTAAGTCACAGTTGTGAAAAACACAAACAAGTCACATCTTTGAGTGTTGATTTTCTAGGTCCTTGGTCCCCGAGTTCCCTGCCTTTCCATTCTCTCCCTATCCTTTGGCTTTTGCTCCTTTTTAGAGGCCCAATCACAGGACAACCAGGAGATCAGGTGAGAGTCAGGAAGGAAAGGTGTGACAGAAGCTTGAAGGGATTGGGGACCCCAAAATGGCAGCCCTGCCAGCTGGGTTGGCTGTGGTAGAGGGATGCAGTGGACACCCAGAAAATGTCTGTGGGATTGGACAATATGGAGGTTGGTCCCTGGAGAGTTTGGCATGAGCTGCTTCTGTGTGGGGTATATACTTGGCACCTCATCCACAAAGCCAAGCACAGCACCCTCCCCCTCAGAGATCCCACAGTATTGCCTGGTGGCATCCCATTGTTTACATACAATGACTGAACAGTGTTCGTTTGTTTTGGCCTGGCAAACCCTTGTCTCTCCACCCACTTGCTTTCTACTTGAGACCTCTAAAAGAGACAAAATTCTTTTTCTTTTTCTGAATATTTTTAATTTATTTGAACACAACAATTTTGAAACATAGTTATAGTATTGTTTCTTCACTCCTTTAAAGAAAAAAAAGAGACTTCCAAATCTATAATGAGGGTGGGGTGGTATGTTTTCCATCTGTTTAGCATTTGCAGAAAACCTATTCTTTTCATGCTCATGAACTAAAGCAAACCCAGCTCAGCAAAACAAACAGAGCAAATCCCTGGTGTGAAGCACAAGTAACTGGTCAGTGGTTAGGGACTAAGCACATATGGCCACTGGCCTTTTGTTGGTCTCTCCAACTCTAGCCTTATTCCCACTGAGGAAAGACTGGGAGAAGATGCTCCCCTCCTATGGACACCACATCTCACAGACAACTTCCTGGAGTGGCTGGTGACACATCCTGGAGAAAGAACAGTACAGGAAAGAGCTTTCTTACAGTTGGTTTGACCCTTTTTCAGTGCAGAACAGGTTGTCTCTCTTCCATCTGCAAGGCTTCTTGTGATTACCAATAGGCCAGGGTGCCATACTCAAGACAGATGAAGGTGTTCAAATAAGCTTTATTATAAAAGCTAACCTGAAGAGACATCCTAGAAAATGGTAGAGCAGGAAGCACTAGGAACCCACTCTTCCATCAAAAGAACTATTAAGCTGGCAATAACTGCCTGAAGCAACTGTTTTTGGAACTCAAGTCTAGTTGAAAATTTGATATATCCAGGGAGAGCTTCATGGAAAGGTTTGTGATTTTGGTGAATTTCTGTTTCATATAGCAGCAGTTCCCTCCCATTCCTACAGCAGGCAGCTGTGATGACCACAGCCCAGTTCCTGGGGTGACTTGTTGCCAGAGTAGGCAATAATGATTCTGTCCTCTAAAAGTCAGGGTTTTATGTTTTGATTGCTGATCACTGAGGGGCCAGCACATCCCTATTGCTCCCAATCCTATGGGCTAAAGCAGCTTCCTAGCCACAAGGGGATTTAAAGAGACAGAGTCTGTTACCAAAAAAAAAAAAAATTCTTCTTTTTGGCAAGCCAGAAATTTAAGGAAATCTTAGGTTACTACAGAGACAACAGAAGAGAAACTGCAGTGACTCTGTCACTAGAGGAGGGGAAAGAATGAAGGGGTTCCCTTGGCCTAAAAGTTGACACGCAAATCACGGGATCTTAACATCCATAATGAAAAGGCACAGGGCCAGTGAAGACTTCCATTTGCCAGACATGTACCCAGTTTTCTGTCTACTATTTGCAAAGTTTGCAGCTTCTTAACATCTCAAAGAAGGCAGATGCAGGTAGTTCCTGTATGTCTCCCAGTTCTTGTAACTTAACATCTAAAAAATGTTAGAGGGCTTGCTGCTCTGGTTTTTCAGTTTGTACCTCCTGGCTCTAATTTCTGAGCCTGGCCCTTTTAATATTTATCAGTTTTAATTTCCCTGTCACCTCATCTATCTATCCTGCCTCAGCCCCACACTACAAGGAATATATACTTCGTAAAAAACATTTGAGAAGTCACAAACAGATGACTCTAGCCTTAACAAGCAAAAATCAGCAATATGGAGACTAAGAGAACTATATTTCAAGTTACTACATAAGAGTACTCAGAATGTCCAGTACACAACAAAAAATTATAAAACATACAAGGAAATAGGAAAACATGGCACATTTGCAGGAAAGAAAAGAATTTGAGAGAAACCATTCTTGAGGAACACTAGGCATTAGTCAAGTGTTAAATTAACTGTCTTAAATGTGTTCAGTGAGCTAAAGGAATCAGGAAAACTGTACATGAACAAAATGACAGTATCAATAGAGGTGGAAATTATTAAAAGGAACCAAACAAACTCTAGAGCTTAAAAGTATACTCATTGAAAAGAAAATTTAGGTAGAGAGGTTCAACAGCAGACTTAAGCAGGCAGAAGGAAGAATCAGTGGATTTGAGGATAAGATGATTGAAATTATTCCAAAGAGCATGGTTATCATTAAACATATGCACATACGCATTATAGGAATCTCAGAAGAGAGAAAAGGGCAGAAAGAACATTTAAATAAATAATGGCAGAAAAGTCCCCAAATCTGATGAAAGATATGAACATACATATCTAAGAAGTTTAGTGAAGTTAAAGCAGGATAAATTCAAAAGAGAATTTTGAAAGCAGCAGGAGAAAAGTAGCTCATCACATGTAAGGGGTCCTCAATAAGAGTAACAGTTGAATTTCTCATGAAACCATGGAGGTCTGAAGGCATCGGTAGAACATAGCTGAAGTCTTGAAAGGGGAAAAAAAATCAACCAAAATTTCTGTATCAGGCAACACTATTCCTCAAAAATGAAAGAGAGCCAGGCACCAGTGGCTTACACCTGTAATCCTAGCTACTTAGGTGGCAGAAATCAGGAGGATCATGATTCAAAGCCAGCCCTGGCAAATAGTTCCGTGAGACCCTATCTCGAAAAACGCTTCACAAAAATAGGGCTGATAGAGTGGCTCAAGGTGAAGGCCCTGAGTTCAAACCCCAGTACCACACACACACACACACACACAAAGATAAAAGAGCAATTAAGACATTTCCAGATTATCAAAAGCTGAAAAGCATTCATTACCAGTAGACTTGCTTTACTAGAAATGCTAACAGGAGTCCTTCAGGTTAAAATGAAAAGGATACTGAACAGTAATTTGAAGCCCTAACAGAATAATAAAGATTACTAATAAAGGTAATTTTATAGGTAAAGTAACATTCAGTGCCATTATACCTTTGATTTGTAGTTTCTCTTTTTCTCCTGTATAATTTAAACAGCAAAATCTGTAAAAATTATAAATCTGTGCTAATAGATCTACAATATAGTAAGATGTAACTTTTGTCAATAATAACAAAGCAATAAATAGTGAAAAGGGAGCCAGATACATAGGAGCAGTGTTTGTGTAACATTGAAACTGTTATTAGATTGTATTGTTTAAGATGTTAATTGTAATCCCCAAACTGACCACTAGGAAAATTTTATTTATATATATACTTATATATAAATGTATAAATTATAAGTAAAATTCTGTGTATAAAAAGAAGGGAAAAAAAAGGAATCAAACCTAGTAATCTGCAATCGAGTAAATATTCAAAAAGGTGGTAAAGAGGTGGGGGGCTTGTGGAGTGGTTGCAATGGAAAAGTGCCTGCCCGAGTTCAATCTTCACTACTGAAAAAAAACAAAACAAAAAAACATTAAAAAGGCAATAAGGGAGGAATTGAGAAATAAATATGTATGATCTTAAAAAACACATAGCTAAGTGACAGCAGTGAAGTCTTTATCAGGAATCACATTAAATGCAAATGGATTAAGTTCTTCTAAAGAGAAGGAATAGCAGATTGGATTAAAAAAGCAGGATCCAGGGCTGGTGGAGTGGCTGAGTAGTAGAGCACCTACCTAGCAAGCATGAGGCCTTGAGTTCAAGCAACAACAACATCAAAAAATACTATTTAAAAAAGCAGGATCCATCTATATGCTGTTTACATGAGACTTACTTTACATCTAAAAGTGCAAAGAGTTGAGAATAAAAGGATTGCAAAGTATATGCCATGAAAATAGTGACCAAAATAGTTGAGGTGGCTACATTATCATCAGAAGAAAACAGACTTTCAGTCAAGGAAGGCTAGAGACACAAAGAAGATATTGCACATTGATAAAAGGTTTAATACAAGAAGATAAACAATTATCAACAATTATATACCTAACAGAGCCCCAAAATATATGAAGCAAAAACTGACAGAATTAATGGGGGAAACAGACAATAATAATCTGATAGTTTAATGCCCCACTTTCAGTAACAGATATAAGCACTGACAGAAGCCAGTCGTGGTGGTGCCTATCTCAGTCCCAGTTACTTGGGAGGCCTGAGGCGGAAGAATTACTTGAGTTCAGGAGTTGAATACCAGCCTTAGGGACATAGTGAGAATCTGTCTCAAAATGAAGCAAAATAAAAATAACACAAACAAAACATAAAATAAATAAGGAAATAGAGGACTTGAAAAGCACTATAAATCAGTCAGACCTAATGTACAGAAAATATATCAATCAGCCAAGCAAAATAGCTAAAGCAACAGAAGAAACAACTCAAAGAAAAGGCAGGTGAAAACCTTCCAGACCTTGGGTCAGACCACAGTTTCTTAAATATGATAGTAGAAGAATAGGCAACAAAGAATAAATAAATAAATTAGACTATATCAAAATAAAAAACTTGAGCCTGGCATAGTAGCACATGCCGATAATCCTAGCACTCAGGAGCTAAGACAAGAGGATTGTAAGTTCAAGGCCAGTCTGGACTATATCACAAGACTTCCCCCCATCTCAAAAAAATTTTTTTAGGCATCTTTGCTCCCATTTCCTACATGAGGACAGGAAATGTTTCTCTCTCTTTCTCTCCACCCACCTTGTCTATACTTTATCCTGTTGTACTAAAATAAGTCCTTGCTAAAACTTCAAAAAAAAATTTTTTTTACTTTTGTGCATTTGATCTGGGGGGCTGGCTCAAGTGGTAGAGTGCCTGACTAATAAGCGTGAGATTCTGAGTTCAAACCTCAGCACAGCCAAAAAAACAAAAGCAACAACAAAAACTTGCGCATTAAAGGACACTCTCAAAAGAGTGAAAAGACAATTGACAACATGCAAGAAAATATTTGAAAATCATACATTTGATAGGGTTGTTCCTACAACAAACCAGTTAAAAATAGGTGAATGATTTAAATAGACATTTCTCCAAAGAAGATATATAAATGGCCAATGATAACATGAAAAGACTAACATCTTTAGTCATTAGGGAAATGTAAATTAAAACAGTGAGGTACCAGTTCACACTTAAAATGGTTTTCACACATACAAACACAGAAAACACGCATTGAACATACATTGCTGGTGGAAATATAAAATGATATAGCCACTTTGGAAAACACTTTGACAGTTCTTCAAGAAGTTAAATACAGAATTACCATCTGATCCAGCAATCTAGCAATTTCACACCAAAAGGACTGAAAAGAGGGACTTGAACAGATTATTTATGCACCAGTGTTGATAGCATTATTCACAAGATCCAAAAGGTAGAAACAACCTGTGTCCTTTGCTAGGTGCACACACACACACACACACACACACACACACACACACACACACATTGTCATAAAAAGGAATGAAATTCTGATACATTCCATAACAAGGATGGACCTTGAAAACATTATGCCAAGTGAAACAAGCCAGACACAAAAGACAAGTATTGTATGATTCCACCTATGCAAAGTATCTAGAATAGGCAACTTGTAGAGATAGAATTAGAATATAGAATATCAGGATTGGGAGGAGGAAAACATTGGGAGTTATTTTTTAATGGCTATACAATTTCTGATTAGGATGATGAAAAACTTCTGGAAATTTAGGGGATGGTTCATAACATGAATACACGTAATACCACTGAACCACACACTTAAAAATGGTTGTTATTGTACACTTTTGTTATGCATATTTTACCATGATTTAAAAGAACAGCTTAGCTGGAGATGGGATGAGTGGGTTTGAGTCACAAGCATTGGCTCCTTCAGCTACTGAATCCAACACAAAGTGAGGTGCTGGTGTCCTTGGTGGGACAGAACACAGGTGGCAGAGTGGCCACGCCATTGTTTCTCCATGCCTGAGTTTCCACACCTCGTTTCTCATGGCGTCAATGCAAGGCCCATCCCTGACCCTTTTGGCCAGTCTCCCTGACAGACGTTAGGCCTGCAAGTTGTAACTGACATGGAGAAGTACGAATCTGTACTGGGAACCAGTGACTAGAGCCATGTGCTGTAGGAAGCCGGGAGGCAGGTTGAGGCATTACAGGAAAGAGTCCAGAGGTGTTAGTGGTCTGTCTGGGGACACTGGGCTGAGGTGGCCACGAGTTCGTGGCCTGGAGAGGCCAAGATACTACTCTAGCTGCTAGGTTGGAGGTTTGACGCTGGTCCCTCTGGGAGTCTGAAGGCCTTGCCAGATCTGGCCAGCATCCTGTCCACTTCCTACAGGCTGGAGGGGGGAGTGGCTACCAGGAAGGCATTGCTTATGAAATTCAGAAGTCCCCACACTGGCACAGTAAGGACCTGGTACCCTGGAGCTCTATAAACTGTAGCTGCTGTGGAGTGACAGTCATGTATTTTCTCCTCAGAGACAGACTGAACTCGATCCATCACTGAGGGACCCGCCAGTGTGGATGCTGTCAGCCATGTGGAAGGGCCAGACCTGCCTCTCTGCTGCCACATGTTGTTTCCACAGCCAGCCGCTGGGCATCCCAGAGAGCCTCCGGAGCCCTTGCACAAAGCCAGAGCCCACCATGCCATCTCTGTCCTCGGCATGCTTAACCAGGGAAGCAGCAAGAAGGGGGTCTCACCACTCCTTTTTCCCATGGTGTAGGACCTTTCCTTTGCCTCCCAGGGATAAAATGGTTTCAATTTCATATTCATAGACACAGAATCAAGTTTTTACCATATACATTTGCCTATATACATTTAATAAAGGATCAGATTACAAACATTTTCATTACATAGAAACTTTGGTTAGCAGAACAGTACACTGTTCACATCATCTCAAAAATGCCGTGTCTGTTCTCTGAGGCACACTGGGACCATGGGTGTCCTCACCTTCCACAGTGGGCAGGGGTCAAAGGCACACTAAGAACTGTGGCTGCCTCCCTCTTCCCTGACAACGGCCCCGCTTTGCCTTTCTCCAGGCAGCAGCATCTTTGAAGAGATGTCCACGTTTCATGCCAGGCTTGCCTTGCTTTGTAAACTGATGGGTATGGAGGTCACTTACCCTAAGTTCAAAAACAGCCAGCTCAGCTGTGAGATTAGTGTTGGATCTTATCACTGTCTTCAGTTGCTGCAGCAGTTCTGCTTTGAATCTGGTTATCAGATCAACTAAAGAAACATTTCTTGTTAAGCATAATGTGCCATCTTCCCCCATCCCTTAATTCAGAGTAAAAGTAAAATGGCAAAAGGAAATGGATATAGCCTGTGGCTGTGGCCCTTGAGTGTTCAGAGCCCTTTCTCCACACTCAGAGAGCCTCCTGCAGGTTGGGAGGGAAGAACACACTGACTGGTAATAAGCGCTTCAGAATTATTTGGGAATGACCAGGGATGGGGTGGTCTGGAGCAAAGACCTGTAGGTGGGAGGTCCTGGTAGAACACTCAGAGTGCCCCAGCCCATGGACAGGTCCTTGTGAGGAGGATGTTAAAGTTCTATGTTTGTAACCCCAAACTTGGAAACGAGCTCTACCTACTTTAGCTTAACCCTCATGTCCTCGTCGAATTAAAAAAATCACAGGAAAAGGTGCCTTTGAAACAATGGTAAACTTGCGTATAGAGCTGCACTAAATAGTAAAGCCCCAGTTTCCCCAAGGCTGGCTGCTCTGAAAGCTAAGGTCACGTCACCTGTGGCTCTGCTAAATCTCTTAGAAGCTCCTGCTTCCTGAAGCACTAAGCACAGTACCAGTGCTCTGGGGCACTCCTGCTGCACCTGGCTGCATGGAGCACCAGGAGACCCAGAGAGGGCAAGGGCTTTGGGGAAGATACTGGTCCTGTTGTAGGCTCTGTTCTCCCCTACCCCACCCCTACCCCAGGGGACCAGAATGGCCAGACCACCTTGCTGGTTTGGCTCTGGGAGCAGCACTTCCTGCCTTCCAGTAGATAGATATTTCTTTGGAAACCCAAAGCCCTTGAACACTGTTCTAAAGTGTTTCTCCTGCCCTCCTGTCCTTGTAGGGATCACCTCTTATTTGTCTCTTACTTTTGAATATTGGCAAGTTTTGCAGCTCATTTTTGTGTACTTTCTATTTGCAGAGTGCATTTGGTCCCCAAAACCTTTGAAAAATTGCCAAGAATATTGAGTTACTGCCTTCTTTCAGAGAACAGACACCTGGAATTTTTCCTTTAGAGTTTATATACATGCAGATTAATTTATCCACATCTACAGTACAAATACTCATTTGATATTTTACTCATAATACATACATTTGCTGTGTATATTTGAGGAGCTTCATGACACACGGTGCCGGGAGAAGCAGCCTGTGTGTGAGGGAAATGCAGGGGCATGGGGCAGCCCAGCACACAGCCATCTGCAGCATCTGAGAAACCACCAGTGCCTCGCCCCAGCTGCCTGCTGGCATCACCCCCATGACCTGCTGCACTGGCCAAGCATTAGTGTTCACAGAGAGAATTTTACTGGTTGTTAGTGTTGAGATTCAGTTTGTAACCCGAACAGCAAAACAGAAAAAAAGAATAAGTTATATGGTAGACAAGTTCGTGTGGGAGATAAAGAATACCCCAGCCTCAGGTACCAGCTCATCTCTTTGAGGTGGAAAAGTTACAGTCATCACAGCCCTGGCACGTTTTTCTCAGGGGCATTGCCCAGTAGCCAGGGCCATACCACAAATGATAAAACTGCCCAGGTAAGGAACTCAGCGGGCTGGACAGACCCTGCTTCTTCTTTTCCTTTGGATGGGAATGAGAAAATGTGGTTGGGACCTTGGGTTTGAAGAGATCAAAGGTGACACTGAAGGAGGTGCTTTAAGGGACCCAGGTCTTTGGGTGCTAAGCTCTGAGTACAGCAAGCCTGGCACAGGTGCATCCCCACCAGCCCAGAGGTCAGAACCATACAGACAGCAGAGTTGGGGATGTGTGTCTGGTTGCAGGACAGATCATTGTGATCGTGCACCCTGCCAAAGGGTTAAGTTGTATGTGTCCCTTTCAGAAAGACTTCTGTGGGCTGCAGAGTTGAGAGGTCAATCTGTCCACTCTTTTCTGTGTGTACTTGGACTACTCAGAAGTAGTAAAGTTTCAGTGTTTCTTGTTGCCTGTAGCTTGTACCTGTTGGATTTTTTTTTACATGGGGATGTAAATTCAGTTTTAATAAGTGAAACTAGACCACTACCCTACTAATGGAAATTTGAGTTTATGATACCTATACTTTGCATATTTCCATTACATAAGAGCTTTTTGATTTGGATTTGGAGAGGGAGAAAGTGTCATTTTTGGGAGTCTTGGCTTCCTAAAAAAGAATACTCTAGCTGGGTGGCTGGTTGTCACTGGAGGTTTGGTGGTGACTGAGACTTGTAACTCCCTTCTCCTGGCCAAACGAAGTGGCTGTCCAGTAGACCAAAGTGCCCCAGCCTGTGCCTGGCGTACTGCCCTCTGGAAGCAAAAGGAGTTTGGTAATGCTGGGTGGGAACTGGTGGGATTCTACCTGCATTCATAGTTTCCCACCAAGAAGCTCCAGTGTATTCTCCAGGCTGAATGGCTCTGTGGGTTTTATCTTATTTTTAGTGGCTCAGTGACAGATTCTCTGTCCCCTCCCTCTCCCTCTGGCTCTGGGAGATCTGTCAAGCTGCCTTCCATAGAAGCTGGAAGATGGTTTTCTGATGGGATGCTCATGGTTCTGTGTACAGTCTCTCCCTTACCTGCCTGCCTGTGCTGTCTCTGCCTTGGGCCCTGTTACCTCTTCCTAGTCTCTTGTGTGGACCAAAACCTTCAGACTAAAGCAGCTTTGGCTTTTCAAACATTGCAGGCCACTTTGCAGGAGAAGCAGCCAAGAAGAAAATCCTGAACCAAGATGTGGAGGTTGGACTTTCCCTTAAATCCCCCTCCTCTTTCCCTGCTGTTTACCAGGGAAAGTTTATTGGACTGCTTCACCTTTGCAGATAAACTTTCATATTAAGTCTAAATTTTCATGTACTATGTTCATTGGCAAGGCTGGGGGATAGTCTTTTAGACACAGCCAGCTCGTTCAGGCCAAAGCTGGCAGCCTAGTAGCTAGTGTAGCAGTAGCTAGTGGAGCCTGGTTCTCCTCTCTCTAGATTGGAGGCCCTCTTCAGGTCTGATGGCCCAGCTTCCTTCTCTGGAGAGCATACACCTCTACAGCCACCCCCCTAGACCTTGGGGGCTGTCTCCCAAGAACTCCAGCACCTGAGCCAGCAGGCAGTGGTAAGATCTTAGCCTTTCTCTGAGCACAGGTCCCCTTCCTGAGTCAGACTTTCAACCGAGGTACCCACCCTTTGGTTTGCTCTGGCCCATTTCAATGGGCAGAGAAATGGCAAAGCCATACAACCCCAAGGTTGATGAGGCTGTGAGGGGGGCCTCATCAAAAGAATGGCTGGTTTCATTTGAGCTGAGTGACTAGATGGAAGTGACAATCAGTCATGGTGCTGCCCAAATTGCTCCCCAGCCCAGCTTGACATCCAAATGGAACCAACACGTTGGTTAGAATTTGTTTCTGCTGGAGTCTGTGCTTCCAGTGCCAGGCCACATGGGGCAGCTTGCATGGCAAAGCAAGCCCAGGTACTCTTGTTGACCCAGAATCTGCACTTGGTAAGTGAAAGCTCAACCAGAGCATGTGGCCCTAGAGAGGGCAGTTTAGCCTGCTTTGGGGTCTTTTGAGTTCTTGTCAGCATTAGTCAGCTGTCCTGTCCTGCCCACAAATGTGACCTCTATTTGCAAAGGGGCCTAGTTCTTCAGAATGCAGAAATTTTTTAAAGCCCAGGATCCAGCAGGAGCCACCCACTTGTAACTGCCCTGCCCTGCAGTCTGGGGATAAGACCAGGCAACGCCTTGTCGCCACATGGACAAGGACAGAGGCAAACACCTGTTTCTCTGGTTTTAAAAGTCACCTTTTGGGTTGCAGGACTGAAAGGACTCAAGAGGATGTAGTTATTGCTTTGTGATTCTCTGCCCTCCCTAGAGCTTGGCTCTTGCCGCTGCTTGGGCAGGAGCCAGGCAGAGCTGAGGAAGGAGGGGCCAAAGCGGCTGTTCTGGCAGGGACTCTGGTCGCCTGCTTTTCTTGCTGCCTGGTATCTATCTATCTTCCTGCTGTCCACATGGGCAGGCAGGTGGCAAGCCAGCATACCTGAGAGGGGCCCACGTTTACCTGCCACCAGTGCCTGCCTCTTCGCCCAGGAGACTGCCCAAGTGTGCATGCACCATATGCACACAGACGGACACCTGTGTTAATGAGTCGCTTTGCTTGGTCAGTTCTTTTTAACTTGTGTTCCCTTCCATGGCAAATGAGTGATTCAGAATTAATGTGACTGGAATATAAGGTGAAATGTTTAGCATAAAGGTTGCTTGGTCACTTAACATACAAAGCCTGAACGCACCTGGTTCTTCTCAAAACAAGCCCCCATAGAGTCAACCACATGGTGCCTGTTAATCTGTAATTTGTATTTAAAGAGAGCTTTTCACTTGTCCCTGCTTCCTGCCCATGTAGCAGTTTCATTCTTGCAGCTTGTTTGACGAAGGTTCAGAGCCCCACATGAGACTGCTGGATAGAGCGCCAGCACCCACTCTTCAGCAGGGCTCCAGCATGACTGTCCGGTTTCTCCCCATGGAACTGGAAAGGGCCAGGGCAGCAGTGGCCACCCTGGGCAGTGAACTCCCCCATGTTTCTGAGCAGCTGCTTTGTTAAGCTGTGTCAGGAGGGTCAGACTGTGCCATAATTGTTATTAAACAGAGAAAACACGCCAACCTTCCTCTGTCTCTATTGTTTATTGAGTTTTACTGACAGCCTCTGTGGAAGTCAGGGAGGTTGCCAAATGCCTGTGGGTTCCTTCCTGACCAAGTCCCGATTCCTCTAGCACCCATCTGGATTCTGATCTTCAATACAAACCCCTTTGTTCCCTGGGGAATGAGTTGGACAGTTTACTCCCAATGTGCTTCCTGTCTCCCAGGGATGAGTGAAGTAATCATCCTGGTGCTAAGTGAGGAAAAACTGTCCTGTCTCTGTCCAGAGGCAAGCTAAAACATGCCAAACTGTCTGAGTCCCACCAACTATTATGACCAAGTGTGAGACCAAACAAATTTGCATACTGCCATTTAGACCTGGGTTGAATGGAACTCTTTACCCTGATAAATGTTTTAATGGAAAGATGGCGCTTGTCTTTGGTGTGGACTGTGGTTGTGCCAAGATGGGAGGTGCAGGGGTTGTCCTATTTGAGCTAAATCTCCAGGCCTCATGAGGTCCCCTGTGGGGATGCTGCTATTTCTAAAATGCAAATTGCACATATCCTAGATTTTCTATCTGTGGATTTGGATAAGGGAGGGGAACGGAGACAAATTGCTTGTATAGTTTGAAATAGGCCTCAATGGTACTTCAAATGTTTTGATTGTTCCTAAATAAAAATGTATATACATTTCCCATCTGCTTGTTTTGTGGGAGTCATACAAAGTAAGATAAAATCACTGTGGGCTCTGATTTATTCTGAGGGCAAAACTGACCTCGAAACTCTGGAAGATAGGTGGGGGTTTCCTCAGCTCACTGGAGAGAAGTTCCAGTTTGCCTGTCTCCTGTATTGCTGAGCTCACTGTAACAGCTTCCGTGTGAAATTGTGGTGCGTAGAAGTTGCACTTAATAGAGAAAAGGTAATAGACAAAAGGCAAACAGTTGGAGCTGGAACCATCAGATTCTGATGAGAGGACTTTTATCTAGTTTTCTTTTCCTTTTTGACAGGAAAGCATGTCATTTGCTGAGGGCTTGGCAACATGCACAAGGAGGCAGGGCCTTCTGGAAGACGAGGCTAAAACCAAAAAGGTTTATCTGAATTCTGTTGGGATAGTCCTGAGGGGCTTGGCAAAAGGAAAAAAAGGACCCCTAAACTAAAATCACCTGAGGCAGAAACAAACCAAGGCACGGCAATGATTCTGGTTAGTTAGTCATCAAGGCCTAGGAAAGCAGCATGTTGAAGCTAGGTCCTTGAACTAGTACAAACTACTGTAAACTGTGGAGCCCATCACCTGAGTCCCATGGTAGACTCAAGACTCACGCTCATTCAGGACATACTTTGGGTGGGGTTGGCAATACTGGCCAGCAGGAGGGCTGCTGTGTCCCAGTCCAACCCACTGGGCCTAAGTCCTCTAGGTATTTCCAAAGACCACCTAGGGAGGAGAGGCCTCTCAGGCCAAGACAGGGCTTAACACATTTAATTACAATGTGAAGGAAGAAAAGACCGTGTTTTCTCACTGAGCTAGTTAGGTGGGAAAACCTAGGTTTCCTCTTCAACAGAACTGATAAGGTGAAAGATGATGGTAAGTTACATAGTTGGGAGGCAGCTGCCTTTTTTGCTCACACCACAGGTATTTGTCAATGGGTTTCCTCAACTGAGGCAAAAAAAAAAAACCTGTTCCTGGCTTCTTCCCAGAGGGCCATCTTCAGTCTGGTGGCAAGAGGGAGAATACCCTGACATCATAGGCAATGCTCTGTCCATTAGGTAACAGCTGGTAAAAGTTGAAGCCTGCCACTTTGACCCTTGTCCCTGGTCTGCTAGCCAGAATCAAGTATACTTTTCTTCTTCTATGCTCCTGGTACCATTGACTTCCCCTTCCAACCCTGTTCCTTTGGTTTGCTCTGCCCAAGTCAGTGGTTCTCAACTCTGACCACTCATTCTCATCACCCAGGGAGCACATAAAAAATCCCCATGTGAGAGCTCCATGTACTGATATTTTTCTTAAGTTCCCAAGGGGGAGAGCTAAACTCCACAGGTTATAACCCATTGGGTAGAAGGTAATACTGCCCAAGCTGTCACATGTAGGGACTCAGCCTACACGCATAGAGTGAGGCAACCAACCACCAGAGGCCAAGATATATAGCCCTAAGTAAGTCCCTCTACCCACACAACCGCCTTCTTGGGTCAGTTGACAATGGTCAGACCTGACTGGAGGAATTTGAGATGAAACTGATCTTGAAATTTGCCTGGCTGAAGGAAAGATGAAAACATTTGCAATAAGAGGCAAAGGCAAGGTGGTAGGGAGGCAAAGATAGATTAACTTCAAGTCTGTGAAGCTGCTTAGGGAAGTCAGAGCTGCACTTCTCCCAGGCCATATTCCAAAAGGGCATTTTTATTCAGTAATGGAGGATTGTACTGAGGAAATTAAAATGGTCAGCCTCCCACAAGTCAAGGCCATCACACAGCAATGCAGACAGTGCCAGCACAGACCTCTCCCTGCCGTGACAAGGAAGACTGTTTCCTCCTGGGCCACAAGAATCTCTGGGAAAACAGGGATCATGAGAGCCCAATCAATTCCCGCCTATCACATGTGTGGGAGAGAACTCCAGCTCCTATCTGCAATGGGGTGAAGCTCTAGGAAGAAAGTGGCTGATTAGCCAGAACCAGAGCAGCACAGCTAAGGCCAGTACACACCATGCACTGTTTTATACTCTTATCTGAGGCATTTTTGTTCCACACTGTGCCCCAGTACAGACTGCTACAAAAATAGAGCCTCAGGGAAGAGACCAGCCTTTTCACCATATTGTGGCCCACAAGTTCTGGACAAAAGCTAGAGAGGCAACCAGAGGACCACGTGGCAGCACACATCTGAACACTGTTCTTCTGAAGAGATTTCTGTGGTTGCTTCCTGCTCACCACAGCTGGCTGAACAGGAGAGTCTGGGCTTGCTCCGGCAGGATGTGCTCCATCCAGCCACGCTCCCAGAAGATCAGGTGGTAGAAAAGTGGCCTCACACCTTCTGTTAGCTCAGAAGGAAGACCTGAGAAACTTCCAGAAACTATACACTTGGTTCTATTGCCAAATGTCACCAGGCTTTCCTGAGCCCCCCTCAATAAGTAAACAAGTTAAAGGAAAAAGGACATGAGGATGATTTATTTGGCAGTCAGATCTTAAGAGGGCAGCAGAACTAGCAAATGGCCAACCCTGAGCCCAAATGTGGGCAGTGGGTTTGCGTGTGCTGAATGCTGGCTATGCTACGAGGCACCTTTGCGCCCACAGGCCTATACCCCAGTCTCTGTCATCAGAACCGGGGGCTGCCTTCCCAACCTTTCCATCTCCTTCCTTGCATCTTTTCACCAGCTACACAGAAGCTGTGCTGAACCAGCAGCTTCATTCAGCACCTGACCACCTGACTCTATCTACCCATGAGGCAGGCAACTCTCTAACCCCTTTTCATGCCTAAGGGAGAGCATATTGAGTCTTCCTTGCCTTAAAAACAAACAAACAAAAAAAGCTCACCAGGATAGGCTTTGCTATTTTCTCTTCCCGCCCTTTCCTCCTTTACCTTACCACCCCACAGACAGCAGCCTCCTGACATGGCTGGCAGCCACTCTCAAAGGCTCTGCTCTGAGGTTTCCCTGTGAGGGTGAGGAGCAGGAGGAGTAAATAACTTAGTTACAATACCACTGAGAAGAAAAATAATACTGCTATTTTTATCATGATCCCCTGTATCTTCCAGACTAGGTAGTGTCCCTAGCCGTGGGCAATGTGCCCTTGTGCTGTATCCTCCTCCTTGGGCAGGGCAGAGCCCTTCTCCACACAGGCCCTGTGTTCCTCTGGCCTGGCTCCTGGGCCAAACTGCAGGAGCATCCACCTTCTCACCCTGCCCAGCTGTGGTTTTAAAGCTACAGGACAATGTAAACTTTGTTTCTTTCCCTGGCCCAGCAAGGATCATCCTTCTCCTCCAATCTCAGGAATGTCAGTGGCCCCTTGAAGCCTCCTGTGCTGCCACTGAGGCAGCCTATCTCTCCAAGGGGCGTCAGCCCTGGTCCTGACACCACAAGATGGAAGAATCCATCTCCAGAGTCAGGGCCAGATGTGTGTGCTTAATGCGAGACACAGTACAGTTTTTGCCTTCACCCAGAGCTGGGCGTGGAGGCCCAAAACATACATCTCATTAATGGCTTGGTTTTGTCTAGCATTCACTGCTGGAATCCAGGCTCCAGGCTGCAAGACCAGGAAGGCTGCCATAGCAAGACACTTCCAGAGAACCCAGTTCACAGCATTCCACGAAGCGCACAGCACTTGCTGCTCTCCAACAAGGCTGGGCATGACTAGAGGCGGTTGTCTCCATTGACCCGAGTCCTTCTTGGGGCCCTGGAAAGAAGGGTAGTGTCTTTACTACTAACAGGGCCTTGTAGTCTTGATGGGACAGCTCAAAACTACACAATTATAGCTTTTCTACCCAGAAGAAAGACACCAAAGAAGCAAGACCAAACCACATGGAGCTAGTCTTCCTGCCTCTAGCACCCTCCCCAAGTGTCAAACCAGCCACTAGCCGCCTTTTCCTCCCCCTCCCTCACCTTCGTTCCCGGCTGTCAAAATGGTCTGTGAGATGCTCCTGGGAGATGCGGAAGTCCTCGAAAGGCTGCTGGTAGCGGGCTTCAAAGGAGCCTTCCCGGGCACGGCCATGAAACAGCTGGCTAGAGGCATCTGAGCCCCGTTCCCGCAGGGATGTACCACCAAAGGGACTGAGGTCACCATTGTCCTGCTCAACAAGGGGAAGAGCAAAGAAGTCAGGGGCTCCTCTATACCCTGGAAAGCTACTGCCTGGCTTTCTGCCTACCCCAGGGCAGCTCTCCCCTGCGGCAGTTACCTTAGCAGGGAAAATGTCAATCTTAATGAGCAAGGAGGCCAACTCCAGGTCTTCACTGTAGTTGTTCTTCAAAGGCACCGCTCTGTATCCTAGGAGGAGGTTGCTAAGCAAGGGGCCCAGCCCCACCCTGGCAGTAAGACCACAAATATTGTGTCAAGAAAGGGTCCTTACCTGTTTTCAGGCCTTTTATAGGGAAAGTAGCCTGAGCCAAGAAGTTCTGGTCACTAAACATGTCTTCCTCATACACCACAAAGCGGAGGAAGGCAAATTCAGGGTTACTGATCTGGAAGTGGAAGGGCTTAGCTGGCCACACAGGGTTTAGTCCATTGTCCACTGTGAAAGGAAAGGCAAAAGACTTCAGGTCGCCACTAAGAAAATGGGGTAACAGGTGGGGAGAGGCCTTAGCACCCCCAGGAGGATGAGGATGGTGGTGACTGGGAAGAATGACTTACCTACAAACTCTGTCTTTTGCTTGGTGCTGTCATACTCAGCTCCAGCCACCTCAATCTCCACAAAAGGACACACAATGCCTCGGCCATTCTTTGGCAGATGCCGGGCCCCCAGCACCTGTGAGGCGGGCAAAGATGGACTGGGGCTGTCTTCCTGTTCCTGCCATCCTCACTACCAGAATCTCTGGGAGCAAATGTGACATGGAGATAGTGCGCCCTCTGCTGGGACCCAAGGACACTGCCCAAGGACAGTGCATCAGCATCCCAAGAAGTCTAGAGCAGCTGCTGCCTGTAAAAATTTAAGCTCTAGCCAAAATATTTCATGTAAGTTTTGAAATCCACTTCACATTAAGTCCATTTTCAACATGAAATTCTTTTAAATTACTTCTCCTTAGGAAAGAAAAAAAATCTCTTCTCAGAAGTAGCAGTTATGTTCATATGTGGCTCTGCTCTTGCTGTAGATGTGCTCTTCTTGCCCCAAGCTACCCTCACTCCTCTTTCAAGACAATGCTAAGGCCTCCCCTGCTGTGTGACCCACACAGCACCAGGCAGGCCTTTATCACACACAGCTTTTCATTAGGGTTGTACTGGGGAGCTCAAGGATTAGTCCAAGTTACAGCTGTGGGGGCCTGGAGAGTTAAGGAAGGCCTGGTTACTCAGCAAGTCCAGCTCTGGCTTGTTCCTGTGGGCCCTTGCCTTGTTCAGCATGGGCCTAACTTCTTGCCTGTCCTCAGTCACTGTTACCAGCCTACTTCTGTCAGACAGTGGCTTCCCAAAGGGTTGCCTTATTGGACAACCTGGCTTCTTGCTGCCAAGAAGTGGCCCTGGCTAGCCCAGCACAATGAGGATCCATATGTGACTTTTCATCTCAGGACAGCTGTATCTTCCTCAAGCTCAAGAACAGTAAAGCTCCAAGAGTCCCCTCCCCCATACAAGACACAGAAAATGCTGCTCTCCTGTTGGCTGTGTGCCCTTCCCCACTTATGCTGACCAACCCTCCAGCTTTGACCCCTAAAACAATCCCCACTCTTGGCAAGCTCAGCATCAACACTACCTAGCCAGGAGCAGCCCCTTCCCACCATGAAGCAGAGGAAGCACTACCCACACCCACCTCGATGCAGATGGCACAGGGCTCTAGCCCTCGGAGGCTGCTCTTGTCAAAGGGGTCAAAGGCCTCATCTCGCATAGTACTTGGCTGCAGCACATAGCCACAGTGCCCACCAGCCATGAAGAGGGCCTGGTTCATCTGCATAGGCTTGTCTAGAAGAGTGAGGTTCCAGTGTGTTCCAGCCCAACTGTCCCAGGTGCTCCTCCCACCCTGCCCCACAGGGGACCTCCTCACCTGGGGTTTGGAAGTTGAGGGCCACAAGCTGACTGCCACAGATCCACATGGGCAAAGGATCATAATTGGAGGAATCCAGCCGTTGGCCCTTGGGGTAGATGCGGGAGAGCTGCAGCCGATTGTACTGTAGGAACTTCTTGCCTTTGGCCTTGTTCACATACTTCTCAGCCTTGGTTTCCGGGAAGGATGACATGTCCCGGTAGCAGGCACGTTCTGTGCCAATCTCTGAGCCAAACAGGAGAATGCTTACAGAATCAGCCCCCTCCCCCTCTCCTGGCAGTGTGTGGGGGGGGTGGGGGGGTCAGCAAGGGAGAATGACACCTGAGCATTTCTCTTGAACATCTATGAAGAGTACCTGTACTGCCAGGCCCCAAGTCCCCTCTGCCCCCACCCCTCCTCCCCCAAACCTGGGCCCAGCCTTACTCTCTTCATCAAATGGAACAGGCCGGCAGTACACGACAAGCTCAGAGAGCTCCAAGGCGATCTTCTTCCTCCGTTCCATCATCTTCCCTTCGGTGAGCTGGTGACACACATAAGGCCCTGTAGCCCCAGGCTAGGACCCTGCCCAGGAGAAGGAAGCCCCTGCCAGCCATGGGCAGGCCATGGGCCCTCTGCCCACTCTCCTGCATATTTCAGATACTACCAGATAGTAAACAAGGCCCCCTATCATTAGCTTCAGCCCAGAATCTTTCTTCTTCTGTCCCCAAGGATACACTTGTCCTTCAGTCTTCTCGGGATGGAATCCTCATCACCACCCATATTCCAAAAGACCTCACAGGGATTCTGGGGTTGGCGATGCTCCCCAGTGATGCTTTCTGGTCATTTCTGGCACAAATGGTGCCTCCTGATTATTACTCAAGATTTTACTGGGGCCTCATGCCCTGGATCAGCAACATCTGTGTCTAAGATGATCTTAAGCACATACAAGCTTTACAAGCCCTTCCTCTCCATGCCCAATCTCAGCTGCAGAAACCTACCACACCCCCAGCCCTGCTCCACTGTACCCATCTTTCTTCTCTTGGTGGCTCCTCTATTCAGACTCTCTTCCCTTTCTAGCCTAGACCCAGGATTCTGCCCTTTAGTTAATGAGCCTTTTAGCCCCTTGTCCTACCAGAGCACACTCCTGGACAAAATCCTTAGCACCCCACCATTTCTCTACTTGAATCACAGGTACCTGTTCTCCAAAACAGCCATAGGTCCAAACTCCAAATGCCCTGGGGGAATAGCCTCCTAAGAATTCCTTGCCCTTGATAATGCTTCTCCCTATCCCAAGGTTCAGTGAAAGGGGTATCCCTCCTCCAGAAGGTTGGTCCTTCCCACCACAAGTGGCTCCCCAACCACCCACAAAACCTCAGTGCCTACCTCTCCATCACAGCAAGTTGGACAGAGCACAGACTCCTAGCTGTCCACTGCCACCCAATCCAGCTTCAGTAGTGCCAGCAGTATTAATCATTGCTGCTAAGGCCAATAGGCACTTTCAGGTTCTTTTCACATCTGACTGTGCCTCTGAAGCCCTCGACATAAGAGCCCGGCAATCTCAGGTGGCTATAGCCTCTGCCCACCACGAGCTTACACATTCTCACGGACGGACTCTGAGTCCACTTCAGGCCCATGCCTACACTAGACCACCCCCCTTTCAGCCCAGGACTTACTTTTCTCAGTCTTGTGTATCCAAGTGTCTATTACACAGACTCACTTGGATGACCCAGGACACCACAAACGTAATACCTCCTAAGCACACCACAGTGCTGCCTTCTAAGTTGACTCTTCTAGGTCTCTGACCTAAGGCAAGGCCATGGTATGGCCAGCAAGGTAGTTGGCCCTCCAGTGCTGAGGAGCTGGTGGCCCTGGCCATCCAACAGTCTCACATGCAGCCCACTTAGCCCCCAGCAACATTCCAGGCTGCCACAGGTTCTCACCCTAGCATCTGCTGTCTGGGCCACTTCACGGATCTTTTTCACCCAATCCTGCAGCTCCTCCTGTGAGTCAGCTGCAACATCCAGCGACCAGTGGGCCACTGATGCCATACTGATGGAGAAGACGAAGAGTCGGTTGTTTTTGCCCTCAGGACGGATGGCTAGGAAGGTGAGAAAAGACAAGGACTGAAAACAACATCTCTCTATCCTCCACTCCACTCAGCACTGGCTCCAATGCATTCTATCTCATCCTGTATCTTCCTGCCCATACCCCATGGTGTGTGGGCTCATTTTACATAGGAGGACCCTATAACTCAGATACATGTCACTAGCAGTTGTGGTGGAACCAGGATTCCAACCCATCTCTGTCTCTTCCTTGGGCCATGTCCCCCCCACCCCCCATTTCCAAGGTCCTGTCACACACCTGGAAGCCTAACCTATTAGAACTGTGAATGTCAGTCAGTCCTCAACGTCTTTGCTCTCTGTCAACTGACTCCACAGTGCCCAGCACAGGCAAACATACAGGGGTCAAAGCTAGGGGTAACAAAGGGAGTCTGGGGTGTCCACAATACAGGAGAAGCTTGGAGTAAAGACAGCCTTTGGGGTTTCAAGTCATCAGCTTCCTACTTAGGAGCAGAAGGAGCCTGAAAGGTGAGACTGACTCTAAGGAACAGGGGGTAAGAAGAGAAAGAAAAGAGGGCTCACCAATCTGACAGGCTGGCACATCTAAGACCCCACGCAGCAAGTCCCCCAGAGGGCTGTTCTCGTCCAAGTGCTATGAAAGCAAAGCCCACAGGATGGTCAGCATGGCTGCTGTGTGCATGTGTGAAGATGTTTATTTGTGTGTGACAATACATCTTGTGGGTGTACCATGACTAGCCAAGTGCCACAGGTACAACGGAAACCTTGGGCAAGGCCACCCACGCTGTGTGACTGTCTGCAAGTGACAGGTGCTTGCACGTGCACAGGCAGGCCTGGGACTGTGTGTGATGGTGCGTGTAGAAGAGAACCTGGGGACAGGGAAATCCCATGGTACCATATGGCTCTGCACTCACCTCCCTCTCAGGCTCCAAAGCTGCTGGGTTGACCATTTCTTCCACATAGTTTGATGGGAACCATAGCTGCTTCTTCCCACCATAGTCCCCTCGCCACCTGCAGAAGTCGCAGGGTACTAATCATCAAAAACCACCCCAAACTCCCATGAAGAAAACACCCTTTGCCTGGGGCTCCCACATCAAAGCCAGGCCAAGGAAGGCTCTGCTGGTGCACATGTAAGACAGACACTCCTCAAAGCACATCATCAAAACCCTCTCAGTGCCAGCTCCACGTGGCTGGACTCCTGTCCCACCACACCATAGGCTCTCTAACCCTAGGGACCAGGCTCACCAGCCCCCATCTTGCTTCTCCACATTTTGGATGATGGCGCTCTTGGTGAAGGTCAGTTCATCTTCTCTTTGGGCCTTATAGTCAAATAGAGCTTTGACTGCACACTGCAGAAGTGAGATGCATGGGTTAAAGCAGACAGATTCTCCCTGCCACTTCAGACCTGGTATAGTTCTCGCCACTGCCCTGTAGGAGGCTCCAGGGTAAACAGGATGAGGAGAAAAGGTCTCTGCCAGGGACGCTCCTAGCAACCAGGTGGGTCTTTGTGAGCCCTGCCCAGGGAGAACCTTGAGTTTGTTAACAAGAGCCAGGGCTGGCAGGTCAGGGAGTGTTTGTAGTAACCTGGTATACATTCCCAGGACCCACAGCATGTGGGCATGGCTAGGACCCTATCATACCCCACCTCTGAAGGCCCCTGGCTGCTGAGGAGAGGGGTGAGGAATAGGACAGAGTCTCCTATTAGAAAAAAGAGCAAGAGGAAGATTCTGTCTGACAGGTTTTCATGAGCAAGGGAGGGACTTCCCAGTGTATCTCCTACCCGTTGCCCTGCTGCTGCCCGTGGAAGAAATGGAGGTCATCCCTAGGAATAATCAGGAATGGTCAGTGTTGATTCAAGTAAAAGGGGCTACGAGTATGGGCTGGCCCTGGGAGAGTCATGGTCATCTACCAACCGCATATCTATCAACCACAACCTCTTGGGCCTCAGAAAAATCACAACCACCACTTTTTCATACAGACCAGACAGGCCCAGAACTCAGACAATGCAAGCCCCAAGCAGCTGAGGATCCCTCTCCCCTCCAAACTTCCTGTGCCAAGGGCAACTCTGTACCTTGAAAGTTGGCATAGGGTTTGCCTCCACATAGAAGCCAGGATTGCGGCCTTCATAGAGGGCCCCGTAGTCCGGCTCCTGGAAACAGGACACATTGGAGTCTGTTCATACCCCAGAGCCCAGATGAAAAGCAGTTGCTTGTTCCCATGGGTCCCTTTCTCCAGCACAGCTGGCTTCCACCTGGCCCTCCCTGACTTGCCACCAAGTCCATTCCCTTCACTGACGCCTACTCTACGGGGACCCCTCAATCCCAGGAAAGATAGCCTTAAGGGCCTAGCCTCATTCTCTTCTTTCTGTACAATTCATGCCTTAGGACCCACCACATAATTCTAAAATCTCTACCTGGACTCCTGAAGGCCCAAATGCCAACTGCTCCTGAGCTGTTACCTCATGCTCCATGCTTCTGTTCAACAGCTGAGCCCAAAGTCAGGAAGAGCTACCAGCACACTCCTTCTGTCTCTCCTCATATTGAATCCCAGGCCCCAGTGGACAGTGGGCCCCTCTCCGACTACCACTGTGTCCACTGATAACAAGTCTCTCAACTGATCTCTTGCCTGAGATGCCCTCCTCCTACCTATCAGTCCTGCCTTCTTTCCTCATGAGGCTTCCTCTGATGGCCCCAGAGGTATCTGTATAGCCACACTGTAGGTTCACTCCCCTTGATCAGGATACTCTAGGCCAAGTCTGTGGGCATGTTTCTGGAGTATGTGCCTCTCCCTCTGTGAACTCCTTGACCCTGTCACCCAGCTTGAATTCTGCTGCTTGAATGTGATCCACATTCTAACAAAAACAATTCAAACATCACTCCCTCTAGCATAGCCCCCAGCAGGCTTAGAGTCCCTCCTGGGAGCTCCAACACCCCAGGACTGGCTATAATACACATTCAGACACCATGAGATTATGATCTCTCTTGATAGTCCCCTAACAGCTGTGCCCTCCACAATCCCCTCACAGCTGTGCCGATCTTCTCCAGTGCCTCCTCATTGATGGGGTAGCGCAGTTTCATTTTGCGGTACAGCGGGTGCTTCTCATAATAGCTGATGAGGTCTACGAGGCTGTCAAACTCGGAGTTCCCCAGCATCACAGTCTGGCCCTCCTGCTGGACGCGGCAGTGTTTGATCTTGCCCTCAGCCCTTCGTAAGGACAGGAAGTCACACAAGGTCAGGGCAACTCAGACCCAGGCAAGGTTCCATACCTCCTACAACACTCCTGGGCTACACCCCTCACCGGAAGGAGATAGCATATGAGTTCGGCTCATTCCGTTTCCGCACCAAGAAGGCTCCATCACGGGGTACACGCATCAGCATGTGCTCGGCCTGTGCTCTGGTTAGGCTCGCATGGTACCACCTGAGGACAGGCAGAGTCAAGCTGCAGCTAGCACCACCTACATCCCTGCCCACCAGCTCTGTCCCTTTCCTTACTCTTTGCTCTCATGGGCATTGGTCTGTGGGACAGGCTCTGAAAGGCGCATCTCAAACTCATTGCAGCGCAGGGGCACCTGCTGATAGTGTGTGATGAGGTCATAGAGGGAGTCAAAAACAAGGTTGTCCGTCAAGAAGAACTTGGGGGTCCCAGCATCCTGCCGGGAGTGAATACGGCAGTGCTGAACTTTCCCATTCCGCCTGAGGAAAGACAGGGTGGTGTAAGAAACAGGCCAGGGATCCAAAGACCAAATTACACCACAGACAACGCATCAAGTTCCAAAGACAAAGGTCAGTTGCCTAAGAAGCTGTAGGGGACAGTCTTGTGAGAAGTTCCAAAAACATGTGTGTGCACGTGTGTGTATGGAGAAGAAATTGTTATGTTCCACGTGAAAGCCTGGAAACAAAAGCTCAAATGTTAATTATAGTTATCTCTGGCAGAGTCATGTTCATATATTCATGCTGACTAAAAAATCTCCAATAGGACTGGGTTACCAGAAAGACAGAGTGTAGTCACCCACGAAGGTCTCACTCTCTCGTACTAGAAAGGAGCCATCAGGGGCCCCAGTCTCAATGCAGTACTCAGTGAGCAGGCGCTCAGCAATGTGTCGCCCATCCCGTCCGGCCCCGAGCTTCCCATGGAACCACTTCTCATTGGAGTGCAGCTCTGTGCTCCCAGTGGCCTGTGACAGGGATGGCAACCATAGACTCTCAGTAATTCTGCCCCAGCCTTGACCCAGCCCAGCCCCCAACCCTGGGCCACCTCACCTCTTTGGGCTCCTCCTCGTCCTCATTGCCCTGGTCACTGCTGGTCTCCTCAGAGTAGTAGATTTTACTGCTAGTCAGTACGAAGTAGTGGGGATACCATTCCTGGAACAGACCAAAGGGAGGCCTATGAACCAGAGTCCCCTACCAACTGGCCCCACTAGCCCAGCCCAACCCAGGCCTCACGTGGTTCACAGGGTCTTCCAGGTAGAGGATGCCATTCTTGATGGAGTTGCTTATGTCATTCTCAGAGTACATCACAGAGGTGGGCACCTCCTCATAGGCACTGCCCTCAGCCAGCTTCTTGTGCTGCGGGAGGCAGACCAGATCATAGGCCTGTTCCAGCCTAGTCCCACTTCCTCATCCAGGTCTAGACCAAGAGCAGGAGCCCTGGCCTGAGAGGGGCACTGAGAATTGAGAGCTCCACCACACCTTGATAAGGATTTTTCTCTTGAGCTGGTTGGGTGAGGGGAGCCCATCAGCAGCAATGTCTACAGGCTTGGTAAGGAGAGTGTCCCCAAGAACCTTTTTGAAGTACTGGGCCATGTTTCTCTGCTGGGCAATGCTGCAGTGGTCCTCAATGGACAGGATGACTGGATACCTGTGGGGGAGGGGTAAGTTAATGACATAGAGCCTACAATTCTGCAGGGTCAGGCAAGGTCCAAATAACCCCCTACAGAGTGAGGTGCTGGGAGCCAAGGGCCTGGGACACCTTATCCACAGGAGCTCTGTGAAAGAAGATGTGGCTACTGGTAGGGTTAGAGGGACTCCACAGGGGCAGTTATGGAGCACTGGGAGCAAGGGGTGGCCAGTGCTGAAGGGAACCCCAGAATTGGTCCAGTTATGAAGCTGCCCAGCAGTACAAGGGACACTTTACAACAAAGAGATCAGGAAATATGAGAAGCAACTTCCAAATATTACTGTCGGAGGATTCTGGGGATTCCTCCATGAAGTAAGAGATTGATAACCTCAGGTTAGGGGTCAATATGAACTATGGCGTGGCTCACAGGGAACAAACAATTCTTTGGACTGTGAAGGGGAAGAAGCTAGCAGGACACTGGCCTAAAGAGACCACAGTCACAGAAGTGTTTTTTGAGGATGAGATGAAGTAGAAATGTGTTCCTCACAAGAGAAAGACCCAAGAAGAAGGCTGGCCACAGATACAGGAAACAGAGGAAAGAACTTTGGAAACAATGGCTTGACCAAGCAGGAAAAGAGGAAGGGCAAGAGCAGGGGGACTGGAAGCAGGGTATGTGAGGGTCCCAGGAGCAAGACAGCTACAGCCAAATTAACCCCCATGTCCTCCACACCCACTCACTCTGAGGCCACAAAGGCATGTTCCTTGATGGTGTGCAGGACGTCTGAGAACTTGATCTTGGTGGTAAGGGTGTGCCCATGGTAAATGACAGGCATCCCATCTGGGCCATCCCAGCAGTCCACTGGGGAACAACATCACCACTGTCAAGCAGGCAGGTCTCCTACCTTCCCTCCCTAGCCCCAGGCTCCCACATACACTCAATGCAGCGACAGCCCATCCGCAGGCAGCGAGCATAGGCTTCCAGGGAGGACTCACTGGAGAACTGGTCCCCAGTCAGGTACCTGGACAAGCAAGGAGAGGCAGGTGTGGTCTGGTGGGCCCAATTCCCTCCCAAAGGAGCTGGGTGGGGCTGAGAAAACCACACTCACGTGTTGTGTGAGGAGGAGATCCAGTAGTGGGAGAGAGGGTTGTTCATGGTGTCTGGACACACTGCATCCAGCTGGGAGTTCCACACACTGTTCTCTTTGGAGAACAGGAAGGTGACAAACTGTCCAGAAACAAATGTGGAAGGGACAAGAAAGTAAGCCCAGCTGACACCCAAGATGCAAAGTGATAGTAGAGGAGACTGCCTAGTCACAACTGGGCTTGACAAGGTGGATGATAGGCAGGAATAAGATGGCATCCTCAAGGAGATTCTGGCTCCTGGGGCCCAGGCAGGGTCTGGTCACCCCACCCATTCTCTCTGACAAAAGCTATAAAAGGTTGGGGCTCACCTCATCCAGGAAGAAGTACGGCTCCTCGATCTCTCTCAAGGGGTCTCTGAGAAAGCTGAGCATGAACTCCTGCACCTGGAGTCGGTCAACAGCCCACAGCTCCTGATGAGTGGAAAGCGGGGCATGGGAGAGAACTCCAATGAGCCCACCCCTTGGCCTGACCTCCTGGCCTAGCCCCACCCAGCCCAGTCCAGCCTTACCCCCTGGTACTCAAGGAGAAACTGCTGGAACTCAGGAAGAGACACTCGGCAGAGCTCTGGCCGCTCCCCAGTCCTGCAGGAAGAGAAGGTAATTGCCTGGCCACCAGCTGATTGGCATAGTCCATACACAAGGAACCCCTTAGAAAGGCAGAACCCAACTCCCAATCAGCACTGCTGCACAAGATGGTTTGGCATGGCTCCCCCACCCACTGCTTCCCACCTGGATCTGAAATTACCCAGGGGAGAACCCCAATTCCTCCCCCAAACCAAACCTCAGAGAGCTGGCTTCCAAGAAGGGGAGGTCCATCTGCAGGAAACAGAATCTGGTCAGGATGAGAATCTTAGGAGGCCATGTAGCAAAGGGACTCTCAGGAAGAGTGGCTGGGGCAGCAGATGGACAGGCCTCAGAAGAATGCTGGAGCAATAGCACCCACAAGACCCCCAAGCAAGGCAGCAGGGCTGAAGCAAGCAGGGCTGGGATGGGTGGAGGAGCAGGGCAAGGGCAGGGGAGGGCAGGTGGCTCATGCACCGTCTTCTGGGCGCTGTACATGAGGCTGCGGTACAGCTGAGCAAACTGCCCGTAGGTGATATCCCCGCTGCGCTGCTCCAGGTCCTACAAGGTATACAGCAGTACTATTGGTCAGGCCCTGGCTGAGGGACTCCTGGCCTCCCCTACCCTGCCAGCAGACAGCCTCAAGAGGCCCTTACCGTCAGCCGCTCGCGGAGGAAGCGCATGTTGGGGACCCGGTAGTTGACCTGAGACAGCATGTTCTTCAAGTCCTTGGCTGATATACTGAGAAAACAGGAATATCCCTTTGATCTGTTGGCTGAGCCCACTTGGGCCTGGACAGGTAGGTAACACTATTCTGGTAACCTGCAGTCCTAAGGCCAAGGGAAATCCTTTCCTTTCTCTGGGTCTGTTTCCTCATCTGAGTAAGAAAAGCCCATGACTCTGGCAAGTAACCAGGCTCAGGAAAGCAGGTCAGACATGGCAGGAAGGAAAAGCAATCTCCAGCAGCCCTAGCACCACTCATGCCTGTACCCCCAGCTCTCCAGCCTCTCCAGGTGGCGGATGACCTGTCAAGGACAGAGTGTTCAAAATAACACCTTGGTCTTGGGTTTCCCACCTGTTCTTACTGGGAAACCTCAGAACCCACAGCCCCTAGGTTCATCAGCATCACAGTACAAGGGGTGGAGAGAAGGGGTGAGCATGCTCTGCCAAATGCAACTGTTGGGGCCTGGGCATACTCCTGGGGCTCCAGAAAAGAAGCTCAGTCACAGGGAAAGCATCCCAGTCCTCCAAGGTTGTTCCGCCTTGGATATGGGACTAGATGTAGACCTGGCAACAGGATGGACAAGATGGAGAAGAGAAAAGAAGCTTTCTTTCCTGGAAGTGGGCACTGGGAGTAGGGGACAACCTCTTCCTCTAAACTGAGAGCCTGGCAGGAAGCACCAACATACCCTGAGGAGACTCAGCTCTGCACTGATGGTCAAATGCTGTTGAGAGCATTCACTCTGCACAGGTACTAGCTCACATGACTCTCAGCTACCCAGAGATAGGTGCTATCAAGGTCCCCATTTTTCAGTAAGGAAACAGATACCTCACTCACCCAACCATCCCCTTTTCCTCTGTAGACTCTTTCCCATCAGTACATGAGCAGGTTGTTCTTTTCACCTTGTCCTGCTTACCTCTCTAGCTGCTGCCCCTTCCCCTCCTGGGAAGAGACACCCACGTTCCCTTAACACCTAAGTCACCCACTATGAGGCTGACACTGCTCTTCCCATCATGCTAAACACATGGTCAACTTGCAGTCTTCACCATCCCCTTCCCTAGGGTTTCCTCTTAACCTGAGCTAGCTGCCACTCACCACATCCCTAATGTGAGAAGGGTCTGGGGTAATCACTGGACTGCTTGTATGTGTGCCCCCTGGGTGACCTCATCTACCCTCAAGGCTTTCCACCTCACCAAAATTATTATCTGTAGTCCCAACTGCTCCTTTGAACTCATTCTACCTACCTGTAGACTCTACACCTCTATCAGGACATTTACCGTGCATCATAAAATTTACATCCCACACTGAACCCGAGCTCCCCACAATGTGCTCCTCCCAGTTTTCCTATCTCAGTTAATGGCAACTCCATTTTCCAACTGCTCAAGCCAAAAAGCCTTGACTCCTCTCTTTTTCTCATACCCCAAACTCAATGTGTTAGGAAATTCTTTTTGGCTCTATCTTCAAAATTTTGATGATATACTCAAAATCCAGCCACCTCCTACCATTACATCCCCAATCAAAGCCCTCTCCATCTTTCACCCAGAATGGTGAAGAAGTTCCTAACAGCACTCCACACAGCAGCCAGAGTGTTACTAAGCAGACTCTAAGTCAGTGTATCTCACTCCTCTCCTCCAAACTACCCACAGCTTCCTGCCTCATGCAACCATCAGAGGGTGCTTCTGGTCTTTGCTCACCCATCTCTTGGACCTTCTGGCTGCCATACCAGGCCTGAAAGCTGTGAACTTCAAGGCAACCCCTCTTGCATTACCAGCCACCCTGGCCCTCAGGACATGCAGAGCCAGCTCCACATATCCACTCAGCACACAACAAACAGCAACTGGCTTCTCTCATCTGCTTGCACCAAAGCCACCACAGGGCTTTCTGCAGAAAGCTTTGTGTGCCAGAATCCCATGACCCACTTAGAGCAGGCTGGTTCCTTGGTTGTCTGGCTCTCCAGACAGCTGCTCAGAAGCACAACTACTGTTCTGACTGCTTCTCTACCCACCTCTAGGCATAAGCCACAGCTCAGCACCTACCGATCCTCACGATTCCGATCCACGGAGTAGAACTGCTTCCGGAGCCACCTAGGGAGAAAGAAGCCTAAAGTGAGGGCTACTCCTCCAGCTAGGGTGGGACCTGGGGAGAAGAATGGGTGCTGTCTGAAGTCTGTGTTCCTGGTCCCCAAGCCCCTGACCCTAACAACATCAGTGGCGGGTCATACCTCTCAATCTGCAGGGGTGTGGCTGCCTGCAATGTGTCCTCCATCAGCCAAGTTAAGCCCTTGATCCACATGTTCACTTCATCCTCAGATGTGGCTATGAACAGAGCAACAGCTGAGCTGAGGGCACATATCTCCCACTGGGCCAGGGACTAGCAGACATTCCCCTTTCTTAGCTCCTGCCTCCTTACTCCCACCTTGCAGGCTTAGGGTCTTCAGGCGGAATTCCATTCCATAGAGGATGACAAAGCAGTGTGACTGGTCTGGTCGGAAAGCAGGGTCCTCTTGATAGCGGTCAAAGTCTCGTGAGGTCTTCCCTGGACGGATCTCCTTGATTTCACGAATATCAACTAGGAAGGGAGTGAAGGGGCCTAGGTCAGGTTGGGGCATCCCAGAATCACTATCAAAAGGAAGGCAACTTAGTTTCCTCATTCATTCCCACTCTTCCTTAGGGAGTAACCACAAATAAAGACACTGCCCTACTCCCCAGGGGTAGAACTAAAACCACTCACCGGCATCCTAGGTGATAAAAGACAGCTGAGTTGATCTAAGGCTAGACCTTTGCTAAAGGGTGAGAAGTCAGGGCTATCTGGGGACAGAGAGCTCTGTGTGGTATCCCTTGCTGAGAATGCAATGCTGGAGACTTTGACCTGGAAAAGAGATGGACTCCAGAAGGAGCAATGGGGACCTAAAGCTGTTCCACGCAGACTGCTTTCTGACCCAAAGCTTACACAGAACCAATTGTAAAGTCCCAGGGGCAAAGCTGAGCAGGTCCAAATGGGCCTCAGGATCCCATGGAGGAATTAAGTTCAGGCCCAGACAACTGGGCATGCCTGAGATGTCCTATGCCTTAAAGACATGCCCACACAAGCTTCAGCAAGATGCCTAGGTTCTCCCCTCTCCGCCCCTAGGCAACAGCTGTCCAAATGCAGTGGGCACCCTGAGTCTAGCCAACCTTTTGGCCTGTTGTCTTAATTATAAAAGAGCCCTTGACTGTTCTCTCTGCCCTCACAGCACAGGTTGGGGAAGTACACAGCCCTGTGTGGCAAACAACCTACTTTGGCTGCTAACTTGAGTGATACGCAAAGCAACTCTGAGCTGGTGACTTGTTCAATTTCTTCCAGTCTCAGTGTTACCATCTAAAGAGCAAGGGGCCTGGGCTTCTCTGGAAGGCAGGTGGAAGGGAGGGTGGTAGTAACAACTTGCTCAGGTATTGGAGTGAAACTGCCTAGACTAGAATCCTAGCTCTCCCTCACGATAGTTGACAATCCTACAGAGACAACCATTGTCCTCACTGCTTCACTTGTGAAGAGAAGCAGTAAACAAACAAGAGCAGTGGGAGGATGTTGGTGAAACCAAAAGTTAGTTTAGCTAAAAGCACCAGTATTGTATGCAGCACACAGAAGGAGCTGCTCCCTGGCCGGCATTTGCTCAGGTGCAGAAGCTCTGAGTGCAGCACTCACCACCACAAGGAGGGCTAAACCCTGGACAGAGGGAGACACTTGACCCACGACACATTCAGGGAGGATCAGGTCAAGTGGAAGAAACTTGGCTTGGCTAACAGAGATGACTATGAGTGCATTCTCAACTAGGAAACCTCTTCAAATGCTCTGCCCCAGACTGCCTGGCCAGCCCCTACTCCAGGAGTCCTCCTCACCCAAAGTACACATCAACCTGGCTGGAATGTCTAAAGACCCCAACCATAGCTCACTCTCTCCCTATCCTGTCCCTCTAGCCACAGCAACAGTGGGCCCACCTATCCAACCTGGGAGTGCGAAGTGGCATCACTTCTGGCCTGATCCTCAGCTCCCCTGCTTCAATAGTACTGGTTCTATCTTGGCCTGATTCCATCCCCTCAGCAAAGCCCTCCAGCCTGTCCTTTATCTGGGAACCCTGACTTTCCTGCTGGTGGCCCTCCCTCCAGTTCTCACCAACTGGCCATTCTTCCTGAGTCTTCATAAACCCTTGTTTGGACACCTGGGGATCCCATTCACTACCCTCCTGAGGTTGCCCACTCTAGCCTAATGAGAACCTGTTCCCTCACAAAGTTTCTTTGTGATGGGACTCAAGAGATTTACCTCTGAGCTTTTGCCTATCTTCTTTGCTCTATCCAAACTAAGTCAAACCTACAACAAGAACAGCTACTGCTTCCTGTCCCCATTTAGTCCTGGACCATGGACTGGCTCTATTCTCTCCATACAAAGACCCAACTGAGAGAACAAACCTGCAATAATCATTCTCTCAATGTCTCATGCTGCTATGAAAAAAATGAAAATGTGTGTTCCTCATCTACTCCAGGTTGGATAGAGTCCCTCAAGTGAACAACTAAAATGAGAAAAAGTAGGCATGTGGGTGAAAGAGGGGCAGTAAAATGGGGTTGGAGTAAAAATGAGGCATTATATCAAGGGAGAAGGAGAACTGGGATAAAAAGACCTAATCTGAGAACACAGTTTCCAAGAATAGTAGGAGGAGCTTCCAGCAGGGGAAATGCTCAGATGAGAAACTGCACAAAAGCCACAAACTCTGCCCTTTGAAACAGAATCCAGAATGCTCTTCCGGTGTGAAGCTGTTTCCATCCCCCTCCCACACCTTCTTATAAAGGTGCATGAGCACACATATACACACAACACGCCCAAAACACACACAAATACTTAAATGCATTTAGGTCAGGGCCTGCATGGCCCATAACTGGGGGCATTTCCCCTCCACTGCCTATCAGGCACCAGATAGTCCCCAGTGTTATGGTTACCACTCAGCAGGCAGCTGCAGGGCCAGTCCAAGGCATGATGCCAAGCCACATGAAACCACCCCATACCTTCTTAAATACATACATACACACACACACACACACACACACACACACAGCCAGTGGGCCCTTTGTGAGCTCCAGCCTGCCCTATGTCCTTGAGTCCATACCTTCTTAAATACACATACACACACACACACACACACACACACACACACAGAGCCAGTGGGCCCTTTGTGAGCTCCAGCCTGCCCTATGTCCTTGAGCCCAT